TGAGAGGGAGGGAGGAGGGAAGGAAAAAGTGAAAAAGAGAGCGGAGGGAGAGAGGGAGGGAGGAAGGAAAAAGTGAGAGAGGAAAGAAGGAGGAGTGGAAGGAAAGAAGGAAGGAAGAAGTGAGAGGGAGGAAGGAAGGAAAAAGTGAGAGAGGAAAGAGGGAGGATGGAGGGAGAAAGGAAGGAAGGAAGGAAGGAAAAGATGTGAGGAAAGAGGGATAGATGGAAGGAGGGAGAGAGGGAGGGAAGGAAGGAAGCCTGAATGGTGACTCAACAGGGCAGTCATTAAATGAGACTACCTATATGGTATTACAAAGGCGTTACATAGGTGAAGTGATTTGTGTTCCCAACTGCTCCTACCAGGGCCATTCTGGGCCTGCTAAAGCAACCAGTTAGCTTTCTAGGGCAGCCCTACCTATAGTGGATCGCAGTAATCCACTTAGGAAGTGACCAAGGCGGGACCAACCATGAGCAATGCCCCCCCCGCCCCCCTAGTCCAGGAAACCAGGCGACAGCCTACCGGCCTCTACCCAAACCGCCTCTGGTTACCAACCATCATATTCATAGACAGAACTTCCTGCAAAGAGCATACAGGTCATCCTTGACTTACAACCCCAACCTCCGTTGCTAAGGGAGACCGCCATTCAGTGAGTTTTGCCCCCATTTGCCCACCTTCCTGGCCACAGATGTTAAGCGAATCCCAACCGATGTTAACTTAAGTCACCCGGTCGTTAAGCGGATCCAGCTTCCCCGTCTACTGGGCTCGTCAGGTGATCGCAAAAGGGGGAAAATCCCGTGACCTCTGGACACTGCAACCGTCACAAACACGAGTCATGTCTGAATTTCCACCGCAGGACATGGCGCGACACTCATCCGGGTGAAAAACGGCCCTAAGTTAGCTTTTTCTCTCCCCCACAGGTCCGTCGCAGCTTTGAATGTGTCAACTAAAAAAACAGTTCTTTGGTCATTTTAGTTGCCAGCAGAAAGGGACTGGTGGAAAGCAGTACATTCCTCAAATGCTTCAGATAATTGCTAGGCAGCCGAAGCTGTTGGCACACAAGATTATTACTGGAGAGCGTGATTGATGACTCTGGGCTATGGATGTACAGAACGGTTGGCAGAACAGTTGTAAGTCAAGGGACTCCTTGCCCTCTGTGCCCTTGGGATCCCTTGCCACTTGGAACAGTGGGGCCCCCACCCAGGCCGTGTGAAGAGTCTCGCTTACCCACACAACGGGACCCATCTGGGCTGGTCATGAAGCCTCGTGGACAAGCGCAGACGTAGCTGCCCACCGTGTTCGTACACTCGCCTCCGTTGCACACGCCGGGGCTGCTGCTGCACTCATCCGTATCTGGGGAGGGGGAGAAAAGGCCGTTAATCGGGGGCGCCTGGCAACACTTTGGACTGATTAAAAAGTAAGACGATTCCCTTCCCTCCCCTCCCTCCCTTCCAGGAAAGACCTGCTCCCAGGGGTGGGATTCCACAGGTGTAACAACTGGGTGCAGTGAGCTAGAGCCGGTGGCAGGGAGGCAGGCAGACCCAACAGCTGATCGTCGGAGTGAATGGTTCTCTCCCAGCTAATCTTCAAAGCTACCGGTTCGCCCAGGAGGGGAGCAGAGTTTATGGACCCGCAGTGAGGAAAGAAGGAATGTATTTTATTTAGGTTGCAGCACCTGCGGAGGTCATGCCGTCACTGATATGCCGCTTGAGTTGAAATGACGCATCAGCAAAATATCTATATATCTAAATATTTCTATTTCTTTCTATTATTTCTATTTCTCCCAGTTGTGATTGTATGACTGTAATTTTGTCGCTTGTCTCCTAACAATGTTTATGGACTGTTTCCTAGTATGATTTGATGGCTTATTGTACCCTAGGACTAGTATTAAGTGTTGTACCTGATGACTATTATTAAGTGTTGTACCTGATGATTCTTGACTCTTGACGAATGTATCTTTTCTTTTATGGACACTGAGACAATTTGCACCAAGACAAATTCCTTGTGTGTCCAATCACACTTGGCCAATTAAGAATTCTATTCTATTCTATTCTATTCTATTCTATTCTATTCTATTCTATTCCTATTATTATTATTATTATTATTATTATTATTATTATTATTATTATTATTATTATTATTATTATTATTATTATTCCTATTCCTATTCCTATTCCTATTTCTATCTATCTATCTATTACATCTCTGGGTTATCTCTATATATCTATAAATTACAGTATATGTATGTCTCTCATATCTATCATTTATCTATTAGATAGATAGATAGATAGATAGATAGATAGATAGACAGATATGTGTATGTGTATGTATATGTACATGTATATGTATATGTATAGATCTCTCTCTACCTCTATATATGTAAATTTATAAATTAACAGAATAGAAAAGAATATAGAATAGAACAGAATACAGAATGAATAGATTAGATTAGATTAGATTAGATTAGATTAGATTAGATTAGATTAGAGTAGAGTAGAGTTGGCTAGGCTAGGCTAGGCTAGGCTAGAACAGAACAGGATAGAGCTAAAAGAGACTTTGGAGGTCTTCTAGTCCACCCCTCTGCTCAAGCAGGAGCAGCTATACCATTTCAGATAAGTGACTATCTAGTCTCCTCTTAATAAACCTCCAGTGACGAAGCGCCCACAACTTCCAGTGGCAAGCCGTTCCCCTGGTTAATTGTCCTCCCTGTCCAAAAGCTTCTCCTCAGTTCCAGGTTGCTTCCCTCCTGGATTCATTTCCACCCCTTGTTTCTACCCTCCTCCAACCATCTTCAGCGCTACGGCCTCTGCAACCCACAGGGCCCCTCAAAAGTCCCTCTGGACAGCTGGACAAGAGAGCCCCTCCCCGCTTCTCCACCCCGAGCCCACCTGAGTTTCCTCACCTTCGCACTTGTGGTTGGTCTCGCTCTGCTTGTGACCCGCCGGGCACTTGCATTCGTAGGAGCCCACGGTGTTGAAACAATTGCCCCCTTGGCACAATCCGGGGATGGCTTGGCACTCGTCCACGTCTGTGGGGAGAGAGCAAGGACAACCCCCCCGCCACCAGCACTGCGTGAGCCCACCAGGAGGAGAGAGAAAAGGGCCTCGGAGGGCAGTCACGCCCTCCAAAAACTCTCCCAGCCCTTCCACCCAGAGCTACAGGTCGTCCTGGATTTACGGCCACAGTTGAATTCCAAATTTCTGCTGCTAAGCGAGACAGCTGTGAAGCGGACTCTGCCCTGTCTTACTACCGTAACGTCACAGTCAGCGTTACGGTCAGTGTGGGGTGCATATTTTGTGTATCTGCGTAGACGTTGTACTCTCCAATTGCAAACGGAGACGCGGGTACTCTCATTTTTCTTATCTTCCTTTTTAAGCGCTTCGGTTTTGTCGTACTGCGAACCATTGCTGGGGTGCATCCCCAGTTTCGTTGCACTTGTACGACGACAACAAAGTTCTTCTGATTGTAATCTTTCTCACCGCTATTGTCAAACAGATTATTACAGTTTGTCAACTCATAAAACATCCCGATGCACTGTTTTAATAGTTTGCCATTAATTTTTTTTTTTACTACCGGTTCTGTGGGCGTGGCTTGGTGGGCATGGCCATGTGACTGGGTGGGTGTGGCTTTTATTTTTGCTTTTTTCCAGCCCCCACTGGTTTTTGGGGGCCTTCTGGACCTCTAGGAGGTGGTCATTTTTTGCTCCCTTAAGGCTCCTCTGAAGCTCAGGAAGGCAAAAAAGGCTGAGTCCTTTTTTTGGGGTGTCTCTGGGCTTCAGCAAGGGGGATCCCAGCACAGCTGATCGTACAAACAGCTGATTGTCGGGAGGGGAAAAAAAAAGAAATAAATTCCTTAGGTGAACATCAGGTGGGTGGGGTGAGTGAGCATCAGGAGGGAGGGTGACCGGGTCGGGGGCGTAGCCAGCCAGAACTTACTACCGGTTCTGCGACCCATGCCAAATCCTTGCTACCGGTTCGCACAATCCGGTGCAACCCAAATGAATACCACCACCGGGGGGGGGATGGGGGGAGGAAGGAAATCTGGAAGAGCAGGACAGCCGTTTGGAAGCGGAAGTACATTCCAACTCTTCTCTTTAAAAGGTTGTAACTAAACTACCAGAGCTTTTGCCCCACGAATATATTTAATTGGAGAACATGATTGATGACACCCAGCTTGTGAAGTTGCTCGGTTGGAGAATCTGATTTATGACACACCCAGGGGGGAGGGGGGGGAAACAGGGTCACGGGGGACTGTAAATGACGTAGGCCAGAGTTGGCTTCATACAGGGCAGGGCCAGTATGTTGCCTCTAACGAATCCTTTCAAGTGTTTTGAAGTTTGGCTCGAGAATCAGGATTTCATTAGGGCGATTGCTGGAATCCTGACAGAGTTCTTAAGTTAGGAACAGGATTGTTAAGGTTCTTAAGGCTTCCCCGTGGACATTGCTGGTCAGGTGGTCACAAAGGGGATGGTGGCACACGGCAACCGTCATAAAAATGATCCCTAAGCCATCGGTGGTAAGTCGAGGACTCCCTAGGCACTGTTGTGGCCGCCATCTTGATTTTTTGCAGAGGGAACCATGCGCTGTGGACAAAAACCCAGCTGGCTCAAACACAAACACATCACAGACCTTGGCAGGCTCCGGTACGGATGTTAGGAATGAATCCGCGGCGGCAAGGGTGTGGCTGGGCCGGGCACATCTCGCAGGGGTGGCCCCAGGCACGGCCGATGGTGGCGCAGCACATGGTTTTGGTGCAGACGATGCCGCTCAGTTGGCCTTGACACATCTGCTTGTTCACCTGGCTGAAGCAGGGTCCCGTGCGGTAATCTAGGGAGGAGAGAAGAACGGTGGTCAGCGCCAAGCCAGAAATGGGGGTCCCTCAGATGAGCAGAAAAAAAAAACCCTGAGGGAGGGTGCCAAGGGGGCTTCCATTCTTCAAGATTCACATACGTGGTCCCGCCACAGTCTGTGGGCTGCCAGACTGTGAGCAATATTGCTCAATATTGGTGAGCAACGTTGCTACTTGGAGAAACTATTTTACCAAGGCTGGAGAGAGCTCTGTCCTGTCGGTCAGTGGGGCTAAGTTTTTTTTTGGGGGGGGGGGTTGAGGCCCTAAGAGAGAGGTGTCAACTCATAAAACATTTTATGTGGTCATTTTAGAGTTACCAATAGAAAGGGAGGGGAAAAAGGGGGGGGTTGAAAGAGCACTGCAGTTTTTCAGCGATAGTAACTAGAGTGACTGAAATTTCTGCCCCGCAAAAATCCAACTGGAGAACATGATTGATGACTCTTGGCTATGGATGTGTCCCATTGGAGAATATGAATTATGATACACCCAGGGGATGGAGGGGAAAACCAGGGTCAAGGGTGACGATGAATTAGGCGTCTCAGAGTCGGCTACACCCAGGAAGTGTCAGATATGTTAATTGTTTAGTATTGGAAGTTTGGCTCAAGACACGATTTAATTGGGGTAATAGGGTTTCTTGCTTGATTTCTGTCATTGACGGCTTTTGGGGGATCTTAAAATACTGGAAATTAGCTTTATTTTTCTTTCTAATTTGATTTGCACAGGCACCTACTCAATGCACAGTTCGGGGCAGCAAAGGAATAACTTAAAATGGGGAAGGAAAGCATCAAGCAGAAAGAGGAGGAGGAGGAAGAGACAGAAGGAAGAGAAGGAGGAGTGGAAGAGGGGAGAAGGAAGGAGGGAAGAGAAGGAGAGGAGGAAAGAGGGGAACAGTTGGAGGTAGAAGAGGAAGAGAAAGGAGGAAGAAAAGAGAAAAAGGAAAAGAAGGAAAGAAGAGGAAGAGAATTGGAGGGAAAGATGGAGAGGAAGAAGAGGGGAAGGGAGAAGAGGGAGGTGTAGGAGAAAAAGAGAGAGAGAAAGAGAAGGGGAAGAGAGAAAGAGGAGGAGAAAAAGCGGAGAGGGAGGAGAGGAAAAAGGAGAGGGAGGAAAAAGGGAAAAGGAGAGGGAGAAAGAGGCAGAAGAAAAGGAGGACAAACAGAAGAGGAAAAGATGGAAAGAGAGAGAGAGAGAGAAGAAGAGCAAGAAAAGTAGGAGGAAGAGAAAGGAAAAGTGGATGGGTGAAAAACCAATTTTCAGAACGGTAAACGTATAGATGTAGACTTTACACCATCTGAAAAAAATGACATTTCCTCCACCCCACTACATTAAAGGAGATCCCGAAAGAATATTTGGGGGATACCCCTCAGTCTTCCCCCTTTTGCCGCTGGACAATCTCCCTGAAACCCCTTCAGGGAGCCTCTTGGAGGGGGTTTCCAACTCTTCACCTCCACCCTCTCCACGGGATCCGGTCAACGTGGTGGTGACCCAACCGAGATTTCCTGCCTTTGAAACTTGACAGATCCAAGGAGACATCCCACCCACCCGGTCCGACCATCTGCGACGGGGGTCTTGAAGGACAAGGGAGGCATTGTCAGGGCGGGGAAAACATCTTTTCTTAATTTCCTGGCCTCCGTTGCGGTCTGCCTTTCCCACGTTCTGGCTGTCATCGTCGATTTTAGCCTCCGGTCCAAAGCTGGGGGTGGCGGTGGGGGGGCAGCTTGCAGGAATTTGGGGGGGGGTGGTGGGTGTCCTCCTGAGTGGTGTGATGGCCTAGAGGTGGAGCTCTCACCTCCCAGTCAGGAGGCCGTGAGTTTGATCCTCGATAGAGGTAGATATTTCTCTCTCTGGGCACAATGAGAATATAACTGCCGAACAAAACTCTGCATCGGCAACAGGAAAGGCATCCGGCCAGAAAAACATTCAGCTCCATTCAGCTGCCCAGATTCCACTCCACAAGAAGTTATGGGGTCGTTAAAAGAGGCTGGTGGGTGTCCTCCTCTTTTTTAGCAAAGGGTCCAGGTTGAATATCACTGGTTGGCCACAGGTGGGACCATGTAGGCCGAGAAATGTGTATATTATCCATTACAGGGGTCCTGCATGAAAGTTTGGGGACATTTTCTTAAATGCAGGCAACCCTCAACTTACGGACACAAACTAAGCAACATGGTATATGCTGAGGTCTGTTCTAGACCATTGGTTGCCAACCAGTGGGCTGGGGACCACTGGTGGTCTGTGAGAAAATTTGGGTGGTCTGCAGAGAAATGTCCCCCCCCCAAAACAATTAATTCAGGCTACACGGGAACACAAGGCTGCGCCGCCCACGTGGCCCGTGGGAACACAAGGCTTGCGTCGCTTGCATTGCGAACAACATGAGGTAGTGAGGGGAGGGGGGAAAGGGCGGAGGGGGTGGGAACTTGCCCCACTCACCCCACACACCTGGCCTGGCCACCGGGCTGCTTCTTTCTTCTTCTGCTTTTGACTGCAGGCAAGGAAAGCAGCCGAAGTCTTCCTTTCTCTCCCCCAAACTCCGCCAGAAATGAGTCTTTGGGGCCCTGCAAGGCCTCCTGCGCCAAGAGGCTGCATCAGCAAAGACTCACGTCTGGCGGAGTTTGGGGGAGAGAGAAAAAGACTTCTGCTGCTTCTGCTGTTTTCCTTGCATGAAGCCAAAAGTCTCTCTCTCTCCCCCTGAGAACGGAGCTGGAGACGGGATCCTGCGATCCCAAATAAAGAACGATCGATCGGTAGGAAAACGGGGTGGGGGGATTTTCCTGCAGACTTTTGGGGGGATTTTCCCAGGGTCTCTGGTCTGTGGGATTTAAAATGATGGGTTTGATGGTCCCTGAGGTCCAAAAGGTTGGCGACCCTTTGCCCTAAGGGACAGGCTCCATTACGGTCATAATTTGAGGACTGCCTGTAACATCGTATGGAAAAGACCTACGTGCTCTTAGGGCAGCCTCACTCAACATTCAACTCTTCAAGAACACTAGACATAGCCACCTAGCCACATCCCATAACTCTCAGCCAGAATTCCAGGCATGGAAATCTCCCAATATCCCTTTTTGTTATCCCATGTCACTTTTAGAGACTTGTTCTGACCCAAACCCGGTTCCAAAAGAGCAAAACACGAGACAAAGGTAACAGCACAACCTTTTAATGTTTCGTTTACGAATCTCGGTCCTTCACAGATCAAAGGCCGCTTCCAACTAACTAGCCCCGATAAGGAACAGCCTTGCTAAGTTTTGGCAAGGCTGCCAAGGACAACAGATAAAGTTCCTAAACAATAAATCAAAGAGTCTCCAAACACCAACTCAGTCTAACGTCCACAAGGCTTGAGTGTAAAAACTTGTTTGCTTCCTGCAAAGAACTGCAGCTTCTCAGCTGGCTTTTATCTTCTCAGGGAGGGCGAGCTGGGCACAGGCTCCTCGGGGGCCTCTTCATTGCTGCTCCAAACCTCCACCATCTCCGAAGGCCGCCTTCCACTCCCTGATGATCCCGGCCCCATCCCTGCCTCACACGCAGGCCCCTCTTATGAGTCCTCGCTCTCTCGGACCTCAGCCGTCCACACCTGCTACCGGCGAACCACAACAGAGACGCTTAACAGAGTCGGAAGGGGCCTTGGAGGTCTTCTAGTCCAACCCCCCCTGCTCAAACAGGAGACCCTATAGCATTTCAGACAAGCGACTGTCCAGGCTCTTCTTTAAAAACCACCAGTGATGGAGCACCCACAACTTCTGGTGGCCAACTGTTCCACTGGTTAATTGTTCTCACTGTCAGGAAATTCTGCCCATCTTAAAGTTGGTTTAATTCAGACAGGGGATTCAAGAATCCTAGGAACCAGTGGCCGGGTGGGCGTGGACTACCGGAACTTCCATTTTTCACCTTTCCCAGAGTCCGGAGGCTTCCCTCAGGACTCTGGGAGGAGAAAATGGACTCCCCCCCCCCCAGGCTCCAGAGGCCCTCTGGAAGCTTGAAACAGGCCCGTTTCCGAACTTCCAGAAGGCCCATTTTTTCCCCTCCCAGAGCCTTTGTGAAGGCCCTGCCCTTACCTGCATTGAAAATGGGCTATGTGGAGACTTCTGGGAGGGGAGGGCCAGGGTGGGGAAGGACCAGCCGGTCGGTTCAAATATTGATTCGGCAAACCAGATGCAAATTTAACACCCATTTCACTCAAACCAGTCCAAACCAGTAGAATCCCACCACCGGTTTAATTTCCATCCAGGCTGGGGAATTCTGGGAGTTGAAGTTCACCCATCTTAACGTTGGTTTAATACCTCATCCTGGCTGGGGAATTCTGGGAGTTGAAGTCATGCCCCCCTTTAAAGTGGGTTTAATTCCCCATCCTGGCTGGGGAATTCTGAGAGTTGAAGTCCACTTCTCTTAAAGTGGGTTTAATTCCCCATCCTGG